TTTTCTACTTTGTACGAAGCTAATGTCTACTGTTAGGGTGTTTCAACTTTCATGTTTGGCAAAAGAGGAACTGATTCCCAGAGGGAATCAGTAAATCACTGTTTTCTTAAGAAAAGCTACTTTAGCTGATCTGGCTTCCTTTTTTTTTTTCGAAAAAAAAAAGAAAAACGTACAGGTGTGTATGCACGTTATTGACACGGACGTTTATTAATCGCAATACAATTGCGTGGAAATGGCATGAGAAATTGCCCAGATTCCAGGAAGTTATCTCCCTCTCCGACGTGGATGTGCTAGGCACGCAATCGGTATGTCACACCTGTCCGGTGTGCTGAAGGTGTGTGCCTTCCAGCTCACCCACAAATTAGATTGGCTTTATCCACACTGACACACATGACACGGTAAATGTCGCACATTCACTGCATACTAACCTAGAGTATTTATTTAATAATTGTACCAAAAAACTGATCTAAATCATGTGTAGGGATGGCCACTACGGTTTGTAGTGGACACTTGGGTTCAAATCTCGCTGCCACCGCGGCTGGGAATCCATTGATTAAAAAACTGTGCTATTCTGACTTTTGAATAAATTATGATTTTTTAGACGGTAGTTGCTAGTTGAAATCAATGTGTTTTTTGGAGTGTAAACGGATCGTATTGGAATCGGATCAAATAATATCCGAATTCAAATTCAATTAAATATAAGAATATTTGATTTGATTCGAATTTAATTAATTAATTAGTTTAGGTAATTAATAAATATTTTATTTATATAAAATATATAAATATATAAATTATTTATATAATTTAATTATTATATATAGATTATATTAGATATTTAAAAAATTTATATATTATATAAGAATTAAATAATCGGTTGAATTCGGATATTTTATCGAATTGAATTAGGCCATATCTGAATTCGAATCCGATTAGCTATTCAGTATGAACAGGACATCCGAATTCGATTGATTAGATATTCGAATTATCCAAATCTGATTCGATTATGTCAAATCTCGAATTCGAAATCGAATTTTTGAATGCCATTGACACCCCTAGTGTTTTCTGATAGGCGCTTTCTTTTTGAGAAAATGGTGTTGTATTGGCATTATTGCTTTTTCTAAAAAAACAAATTTTCCTTTTTTTTTTTGCTGTGCATAAGTGTTTTTCAATGCCATTTTAGCAACAGTAATAAAAACTAGAAAACATCGAAAATGGCTTTTTCTCAAACCATATCTTTCACAATTTCTAAGGAGTGGTTTGAGAAAACGTTTTTCGAAAAAATGCATAACCAAGGTGACGTTTGGAACCGTGGCCGTTTTTCAAAAAAACGGTGCCACGTCGGATCCACATAGGTGTTTCAACAAACGCCCATGTATCTCATTGTTTGGTCTAGCCGATTATTAAAAAATCGGGCATGCCTCGAAAATTAGGACCCCACCGACGCATGAAACGCCAAATTTGGCATTTCATGCATCGATGAACCGTTTCCCCCAACAGTTGACTGATGTGTATCCTATGTGGTGCTTACCTGTCAGCACATACGTGAATATGGAGATGAAAATCACCTTACTAAACAGCCTAATGTTGCTCATTGCCTACGTGGCAAAAGCATTTTTTTTTTTTGTGAAAAGCAGGTCTGGGAAGCATGGGCATTTTTCCTTGAAGATCGGTCCCAAAAAGCGCCCACGCTTCCACACACCATGCAAATATCAAGCATTTTTTGATAAAGAAGATTTTATGTGTGGTGATTATATGGTGTTTTTTCTTTAAGAAATGGCATTGGTTCCAAGCACCTATTAGTGTTTTGTCGAATCCATTAGATGTAAAAAAAGGATGAGAAAGGGAATATCATTTCCTCTTAATAAAAAAACCTTCCATGAGTTGGGATCTCCATCTCCTCTAACAAAAATAGCCCCAAAAGTAGTGATAATTGGTTCGAACTGATAGGGAAGTAAATATTCTAACCAATAAAACGTAGGCCCAAGTAAGATAATTACACATTCAAAACCAATTATTTTTAAAAAACGATCCAGAGGCCAAACTGTTTTTGTTTCTAAGTCATGGGTCATTAGTTCAACCGGTCGGGTCAAATGGGTTAGATTGTGCCACATCAGCTATATGTGTGTGTATAGGTATGTATAAACATGTACTTTATCAATAAATAATATATAATTATATTCTACATATAATATATGTATTATTCTATATTTAATTTGTGTTTTTTAATTCTGTTTTAATTTTTTTATTTGTAAAAAATATTAAAAAATGTAATTTAAGGCCAAAAAGGGTTTCTTTGGCAAAAATAGTGGGGCAAGGCACCTCTTGGGATGCATAGATCACAGTTACCCAAAATAAAAGAAAAAAAGTGCACATCAATTGGACATCAAAGTGCAAAGCAATGACCTCTTGAAGTTTCTATACACATTTAGCATGCAACCTATGACCCGATCACTAAGTCAAATGGGTGAATGGTGATCAAGTCAACAATTTTTTACTATCGTTCAGGTTTTACTAAAACCAAACCTAGAATTTTGATTGGGTGACAATTCGAGCAATTCAACCAACCGGGTCAATGACAGGTTGAAAACACTGCTCAAAACTTGTAAAGTTTGTCTTTTTCTTTTTAAAATGATAAAATCTATGCTGCTGGAAGGGCATGATAATCAAAGGGCTTTGACCAATCAAATGAATCCAAATGTATTCCTTACGTAATGCTCCTCGCACCAACTTCGCATCAAATCCAGCCATGCATTGGGAACATACATGTCATTAGGAGTGACAACATTCGAGTTCTTCCATTGTGTGGCTGCAATGTGCTATCAGGTGGGCGTGAGGAGCACTTTGTGAGAAGTAGATCCAACCTCCAATCAAACCCCTATGTGAATTTTGGTAAGCGCCATTTGATTGGTTACCACTTTAATGATACAATCAAATAGTTACATGTTTTTCTCATTTTCTAGTATCATAGTGAAAAGGCCCCATTTGGTTTGCGGGAATAGGGGTTCGGAATCGGAATTGGAATGGACTATTCTGGTTCCAACTATTTGGTTGGGCGGAATCAGAATCCCATTCTCATTCCTTCTAGAATGGCATTCCCCCATTTGGGGGAATGGTCATTCCTTGCCCCTCCTTTGGGAATAATATCCCATTCTTGTTGATTTTAATTCCTATTCTCATTCCTGTCCGAATCAAACAGACTATGGAAATGAACCATTTTGATTCCGATTCCGGCTACGAAACAAACGAACCCTAAATAGTGTAAAATGTTTTCGTGAACATGTGGCAAGAAAGATTTATGTGTTTGTTTGGAGATAGAGGGAACAATATATGATGTTGGATATCGAGTCCAATGGTCCTAATTTGCCACATGGATATTCATTTTGACCATGATTGACGCTAATGTTTGGAATCAATTAGGGGTGTAAACCAATCGAATTTGAATCAAATTAGACAATATCCAAATTCGAATCCAATTAGAAAATTCGATATCCGATGGATATTGAAAATTAATATTTGAATTCGAATTCAACCAATTAATTATTTTAGATAATTAATAAATATTTTATTTGTATAAAAATATATAAATTATTTATATAATTTAATTATTGTATATAAATTATATAAATATTTAAATATTTATATATTATATATAAGAATTAAATAATCGGATGAATTCGAATATTTATCGAATCGAATCAAGCCATTTTCTTGAATTCTAAATCGAATTTTCGAATACCATTGACACCCTTGTAGAACCAATGCCATTTTGTTGAGAAGATGGTGATGCCTTGATATACTGTTTTGTCAAAAATGCATTCTTTGGACTATTGCGGATTGCTGCGGTGTTTTTCAATACCACATCAACATACTAGTATGGTAGCAATAACAAAAAGAGATAGAAAGAGAGAAAACATCAAGCCAATGTTTGGAACTAATGCCGTTTTATTAAAAAATAAATGACATCATTTTTTCCCGACCGTTGATCCTACACCTAGGAAATAGGAAATGTGTGATATAAGAAAATATCAATCTTGGTGTTTTATTCGTTTTTTTACTGTTATTAAGAATAATATAATAATGTCATGTTAAAAAAAAAAAAAAAAAACTTTGGGGCAGCAACCGACAACCGTCCGAAAAAAGAGAGAAAATGACATACAATACAATGCAGCAGCACTGTTTTTGAAATTTGTAAAGCATGGTGGTCTGTAAGTTATCATACATGATAATGATATGAAAAGAAGGATTTTGAAGCGTGACAGTGGAGGATGTAAGCGCCGTTTTTCATAAAATGGGCATCCCACCCAATTGGATTTGGGTTTGGGAGGGATCTCCGATTCTCCTCCCAATCTTTTCCACATCATCTCTATAAATTATAAATACTACGTACCCACATGTACTGATGATCATGTTGTGCTTTTAAGGGCGTGGATTTAGGTTAAGAAAGGAGAATAATCGGCGAGGATTTGGTCCTCACTCCTCGGCCGGTCAATGTCAATAATTCACACTATCATACAATACAATGTATGGCCACTTGAGGAGGGCCGTACGTCATTAAAAGTATTTGGTTGGCACTTGGGATGGACGGATTCATTCCGCATCCCAGTCCAGTCCCACGATGAGAAATTGAGACCTGATCAAACCAAACGACACGAATTCTATTGTGAAGGTCCCTTTCTTTCTTTCCTTCCTATTTCCTATTTCCTCTGATTATCGCCCGCCTATCACTTGAGGGCAGAGCTCCAGCTCAGCTGGAGATGGTTACGACTTACGAATCACCCCATTCCCCAACCAACAGAATCTACTTAACTAGGTCTGGAGCCGAGTCCCGTCAGTCCAGTGGGCGCTCTCTCTCTCTCCCTCTCCCTCTCCCTTTCCGTTTCCGCACAGGCACAGCACAGCCTGGCGCCTCTCAAGATTCCGTGTTCGCGTGCCATCCGCATGTCCACTCCACACTTCCCAATTCTCCCTCCCTACTCCCTTATTATAAGTCAGCCCCCTTCTCATTCCTTTTGTGGCACTTCCAAACTTTCTAGTTCTCTCTTTCCTAACTCCTAACTCACGAGATCACGACTATACCTTTCTCTACACTCCAACTGAAATAACTTCCTCCTTCCTCGTCAACCTACACCCCACTTCGCAATGGATTTCCTCAGTCAATACTCCAACTCGTATCCTTTTCTCTCAGATTTCCCGTCCGCCTCTTCCCCAATGTCCGATTCCAGCAGTCATCCAGCTACTCACTCCGACGAAGAGATCATGCTGGCATCCAGCCATCCCAAGAAGCGCGCCGGTCGGAAGAAGTTCCGGGAGACTCGGCATCCGGTTTACAGGGGCGTCAGGCGACGGAATTCCAATAGGTGGGTCTGCGAGGTCAGGGAGCCCAACAAGAAGTCGCGGATATGGCTCGGCACGTTCCCCACTGCGGAAATGGCTGCACGCGCTCATGATGTAGCCGCTTTGGCACTCAGGGGACGATCCGCTTGTCTCAACTTCGCTGACTCTGCTTGGCGCTTGCCCGTTCCTGTCTCCACCGATGCCAAGGACATTCAGAAAGCCGCGGCTGAGGCTGCAGAAGCATTCCGCCCTCCTCAGGACTCCGATACCATGTCCAACGAAGACGTCAAGGCTGACAACACGGCCCCCATGTCAATGTCGCCGGAACCGGATAATGAAGAAATGTACGTGGACGAGGAAGCAATTTTCGGAATGCCGGGATTGCTCGCCAACATGGCAGAAGGGTTGCTACTCTCCCCACCTCACTGTTCGCAACAACAATGGGATGACGTGGAAAGCGATGCTGACGTGTCTCTGTGGAGTTACTCCATCTGATCCTCTCTCTGCACTCTGTATCCTTCTTATTAGTCCTTTCCCGTACTTTTTAGCGTTTGAGGATGAACCCCTTTTTTTATTTTTTTCTAACTGGGGGTCAGGTCTCAAGGTTAGGCTTGCTTTTTGTCTTTCTTTTAGGGGTTCGCTTGGTAGGTTGAAGGCAGAAATCTATGTCTACTCTCTACTCTCTACTGTATGTATGACAATGTACCTTACTGTATGTATGGAATATGGAATACCAAAAGGCTTTCGAAAAGAAACTTCCTGTCATTCTCTTCTAAATCAAATAATCCGAGCTTCTGCTGGCAGCTTCAAGAATCAAAGGTGCATCAGTATCCGTATGACCTATTGGCTACAGCTGCTCCTCCAGTCCTTGAATAACATATTCGAGGAGATTGAACTATATATTCTACTCAAAGCAAAACTTGATTTTGGAAGCAGATTTAATTTACATACTTTATTGCTTCCCCGCTTAACATTCTTAGTTACATACGGAAAAACAGAATTGGTTAAGTAGTAGTAGTAGTAGTAATGGGTCCAGGGAAGAACAGCAATAAAACAAGGCAACGCCCAGCAGACTTGGATAATTATGGACTTGCTTTGGAAATTCCTTCTTATTTCTTCTCAGAATTCTTGGTTGAATCACCCATCGGCTTCACCTCAGCTAGTACTTTTAGTGAACAGTAAAAGTCAGTAATCCTGAACAGGGCACCATTAGATTTGGGAGATTCTGACTTCAGTTGTTTCATCAGACCTCAAGCAGTAATTCTTTCTCCTTGGCTTCAATTGTTTGATTTCCTACAGAAGAAATGCAAGAATACTTTACTGCTATGAACAGCCCATCAATACTGGCAGAAAATGCCATAAGGGCCTAAATATTGCCAAACTTCTACATTATAATACCACTTGGAATATGTAGAATGATGATAATCAATTGAAACAGAAGAAAAGCTTTCACTGATGTCTCTTCCTATAATTTTCTGAAGCCACAAGATAAAGCAAGTGTTGCCAAATAACCAGTTGAGATTTCAACCTGGCTAAAAGAATGTAATAGATTGAAACATATATTTAAAAGATGTGTGACGTCAAACGGTTTGTTAGTTGTGAAAACTATAAAAAGAGAAGTACCTACAAGGAGAGAAGTTTTGAGATAAACAGTGGTATAACGCATACATTAGATGGTGATGTTCTTCTACTCTCAAAATTCTTGGGCCATAGGTAAGACAAATTGACCAACTATTTTTTTATCAGTAATGATGACCAAAGTTCCTTATTAAAAAAGCAGAAAGACAGTAATAATATACTAAACCTTCCTACTCTGAAGTCAATAGGAAGGACCAGAAATAAAACTTTTCTGAAATCTCAAACAGCCCCAAAAGGGTTGAAAATGCATCTAATTGTTCTTTATGAGAATCACAGTTGGTTGAGCCATGTAGAAGAATGGCTAGCGATTTTATATCTTACTGGCTCTGTCTTCTTTTTACTTTTCTAATTTATAATTAGCTAGATAAACAAACTACGGTATTCAATGTCAAATTCAGAAAGGTCAAGTTACTGTTAAAGATGAGTTATTTTAAGCTATCAATTTCCAAATTCAGTTACAAGATTATCTTATTCAGAATAACTGCAACAAAGAATCACGAATAGACAAAAATCACCAATTTCCAAATTCAGTTGCGGGAAGATGAAGCATATTTTTTTTCCCGCAAAAATGCCTCGAACTTTTTAGGAAATGGTGCATAAAGAAACTCAATACTTTCATCTGTCAAAACAAATACCAGCATCCTCATCAACAAGAATCTGGGGAACATCAAGCTTATCCAGTAGATCACCAGATTCACCCACTCTATTGAATTATCCTTGCAAACCAACCTGTTCTGCTGGGGTGGTATGGATAGCATCCCCCACACCAAGGACAGCTTCTTCCACTTAAACACATAAAGGTGGTGCACAAATGTTACCCTCAGACATTGAACAGAATTGACTCATATTGTCCATATAACAACATACCTTCAGTTGGGATTTAATCCATCTCTCTTGAGAATATATTAGACAACAAGAACATCTGTCATATGTAAGATAAGTCCTACTGTTGATGATAACATAAGATGTCATCCAGTGTTTTAGTCCATGGATTTTTTTTGTTTTTTTTGACATGTTAGAAGTAGATTAAGAATTTGATATACAAACTATGTCAGAATCCACATATACACACAAATATACAAACAGAGAGATGATCTTGACAGTTTATATCACATGAACTCTCAAATGCCTAAGAGGTAAAAGAATACAAACAAATAGTAAGCTGGCATAGAAGAAAAACACTTGATAAAGGAGCATCAAAATTGTTACCATTATTTGACATTTTGGTATATCTACATCAAATCTTTAGGTATGAAATGTTGCATAGTTAAGGAATTCCATGGGGGCACTTTAAGAACTTGTTAGCATTTTCTGAAATAAACTAGGCGAGCTGTACAACCTGCCTCAAACAAAACAGAGAGATAAACCTCATTTCTCACAGGAATGTGGCTCCCAAGTTTTTCCTAATTTTATATGAATTCAAGTGATAAGGTTATTTTGTATGGCTTTTAGGCTTTACTACCATTTTAACTTGAGGAAGTCTTCATTGATGTAACTTGAAGATGTCTTAAAACACTAGAACATAAAATCATCTTGTAATTCTTGGGATCAACTACATATGAAATCCAATCAATTTTTACCTCACCGTCTCACTTCCCGTCCTTCCTTTCTCATACTATTACCTTTTCTCTTCAGGTTTTATTAGGATTGTAGGTGCAAATATTGAAGAAACCTTTACTGGGATTTAGAAAAGTTGGAACAGAGCCAGAAGAAGAATAAAAGGATTCATTTAATAAAATCGGTTGAATTGGGATTCATTTAGTAGGGCACCTACTTTCTGTCCCCACAACGACTGAGCCTAACTACTCTTTTCAGGTTCAGGGCCAGCCAGAAGCCTTCAATTCCCATAGGAACAGATGCAAGTGTCATTGTAGGCTGCTTATGCACTTCTCTTGTCTGATGCAAACATCCCTATCTTGGATGCAGCTAGCTGAAAGAATCACATTGCTAACCATAAGATATTCATAATCTAACTTGAGAACTGTTGACGTTTGGTGTGGCTAAGGAATTCAACAGTCACAATAACTGTTGTTTTTTGGTATAACTGCTGAGACTCAACAGTCACAATTACTCTACTAAAACTGCTCTATTTATTTCGACTCCTCTAATTCTACCCCTCCATTTTTTTCGCCAGAAATTTAGGGACCATGTTCCCTATTTTCTTCTATAAAAGGGGAGCTTTCGGGGAGTAGGATCAGGATGGAGAGTAAGCATTAGAAAGCTGAAAGGGAGCTTCCTACTATGTTTGGTATCATTTTTCTTCTTCACTGCTGCCATTAAGGATTCTTTCATACCAGATCAAAGCAGTCATCTATGCTATGGAGTGCTTCAAGGCTTTGTTAAAGACATTTTGGCACTAGTAAAGTTGCCAGTTTGTAATACTCTCATCAAGGATATGAATAAACAAGTTTTTCTTTCCTCTCCCGTGGATGTAGGTCTCTTTGACCAAACCACGTAAATCTGGTGCCATCTTTACCTTTCTTTTGCTCTTATTATTTGCATTATAATTCACATATTTCTCAATTATTTTCTTGTTTGCCATACTACTTAATCGGTAATTCAGAGTTTAATCCTAACAAGGACAAAACCTGGATGCCTAATTTCCCACAAAATAATAGCCAAGTGATGAAAAATAGGTGCATCTGTGGTTGATAGGAGACTCCGGACTGATTAGTAAATGCTAAATGACTACTATGAGTTTATGGAGAAGAGTTAGTTAAAATCAACTTAAATTTTATGAAGAAGAGAAGGAAATCAACTAAAATTGCATAAACCAATGCAGTTAAATAAGTAATAGAGAAGGATTGCCGGAAAACGTATTTCATTGAGAATAATGACACATGGAACTTGCAACAAAAATTTGTTGTTCAATCAGAGATATACCAATGAAACTCACATGCTCATTGCTTAAATTCACTCTGAACAGCCTAATTGCTTTTAAAATCCAGTTCCATGCATAACTTTTGTCAGGCTTTGATTTACCAATTTTCATACCTCTCTCTCTCTCTCTCTCTCTCTATATATATATATATGGATCCTGTCATCCAAACCCAAACCCCATAAAATGCTTTTAGTGGTCGGTGGCTATCAACTTAAATGTCATCAAACCCCAGGAAACTAACAAATGACACAAGATCTAAGACCATGTTTGGGAGTGCTTAAAAATAAGTGCTTATTTGGGTCATTAAGCACTTATTGATATTTGGAAAAAAAGCCTGAAATAAGTGATTATTTTAAAAATAAGGGCTTATTTTTTAACCCAAATTTCCAGCTTTTTTAAGTGTTTATACAGTAAGCACTTATTCAATTTTTTTTCTTCCAAAATTATCCCTAAATGAAATTTAAAAGACCACTTATAAAAGTATCCCTAGTTGAATTTTATGAAAGCACTTTTACGAAAGTACTTTTATAGGGTACTTTCTTAAAAATTAGCTTCATAAAAGTACTTTCATAAAAGTATTTTTATAAAAGTAATTTAACAAAAGTACTTTCAAAGGGTTTATTTTGAAAATTTGAAAGAAAATGAAGGATAAAATATTCACAAATGCTTATTTAAGTGCTTATTAGAGAAAATGACTACCAAACACCCATTATAAAATAAGTGCTTATGCACTTGAAATAGTTGGGTGCCAAATGCAAATAAGTGTTTATTCTAATAAGTAATTATTTTTAAACACTTATTTTTAACTTAAGCACTCCCAAACATAACCTAACACCAGAGAAAGAAAGGGAAAGATTAGAGTTGGGACATCCAGCCTTCGACCTGCTCGATAAATCAATGCCGAAAGGACGAACGAATCACCCCATCCTCGCCCATGACTTCACAAGAAATGGAACTTCGCCGACCACGTATCCTTTCTCAGTGAGAGGAGAACACATTACTCCCTCGAGCAAAATAGTGCAGAGCACCGCTCAAAGAGAGTTCAGTGAACGAAAAACACTGAAGAAGAAGGAGATTGATTTAATGGTCGAATGCCCTTGTTTATTGATAGGTTTCACTTTATATAGGCTCATGGCCGTTACAATGGATCTTTGGAGGATTGATTGACTATCATTAGAATCAATGATCATAACGGTAATGATTTGTAATGATTGTATGGCATGGCCACGTCAGCACAGAAATGGTT